TCAGTTTTCTAAGGTCTTCGAGGCATGTGGACACATGATAAAGATTGGGGGGATGTTGCAAAGGGTCAGATGATAGAAAGTGTCAGCATCATTATCCTGAAAGACTAATTGATCCGTAATTGTATCATCACACCAAGGGTAAGAAGGGGAGAGAGTAGAAGAATGCAAGGGGAACAAGTGACCAACCTGAAGCCTCATGGCTGAAAAAGGAGGGCCAGATTATCAACCTAACTGTGGAAAAAACATAGGTACAGATCAAGGTTAGTGTATGTGTGAAGCAGGTAGAAATGAAAAGCAACTGATTGGGTTGATGCTGTCAATGGTATCAGGTCAAGTGCGGACTAGGTCCTCAAGCTCGAACCTAACATGGGTTGAAGCGGATAGGAGGGAGTTGGATCGTACAGTTTGTTCTATCTTGATCATCATTTTGTCTGGAAATTCGAGGAGCTCCGAGCAACTTGGAATGGCAGAGAGGGGATTGAGAAGGACTTGTGGGGGGAGAGGGACGTGGTTGGAAAGAGATTGGTCACTCACCGTTGTGTACATGGCCGGCCCGGCCGGTCCACTTCAACGGCGAGCGGTCCCGAGCAGCCCGTCAGAGCGAATGGTGTTGAATATTTGTACCCAAAATGGCTTGGGGCTGATCAACTTGTGGGTCCCGCGAATTCAAATTTCAAGGGTTCAAGTGGCTGTTGGCGCGGCTGGCCGATAACGGTGTCTGCTTTCATCCAACATCCTCCAAGCACTCAACCAGAAGCAGATCTCTCGGAACAAGATGCCAAGCTTCAACTGCGATGGGTAAGTCTTGATAATTAACATCATCATCCTGGTGAACCTGATATACTGAATCTGTGCTCTCCCTTGACTTTTCTCTTTACTCAATTCAGATGTGGCGACGTGTGAGTAACGATTTCAGCTTGCAGGTTCTTCAAAGATATTTTACATTGGGCTAAAATGACTGGATCGCATCCCTAACGCCCAAAAAACTCCGCACAACAGTATCAAAAAACCAAAGGTATGCAAATTCCTAAATCTGACTGGATGCCCTTAGATATTACCTGAATTTTCCATAAGATCGCTAACTTTAATACTCCGCTTTGGATCTTGCAATAAAAACAAACAGTTAGATTCTCATTCTATGCGATGTAAAGCCAGTGTAACTTGCCTGGATTGTTCGACGACTTTCAATGGACCGGCCAGTTGGAAATCGCATACCACTTGTATCTCTGAAGCCCAAAAATATCAGAAATCGTTCGTCTCGTCTCTCTCCTGTTACTCGATGAATTTAATAACGTTGGCTGATTTCGGGTGGGACACACACACACACTCCTTTGGTAAAAAAACAGTCTCTATCAAGCCCCCAAAAGTAAAAAGTCCAATGAACAAAATCAGCAGCACTCGAAGGCTCCTTCCCTACCCATCGCCCCCGTCAATTCGATATCAGCCAAACATTCTTGTGAGTTGATTTTGTCTACAATTCATCCCTTATGAAGTCTTTTTTTTTTGATTGGTGATTGAATTTCGCCTCTTGGATTTGGAACCCTCTCAGCAATAGCCGCCGAGCCTGCGCTTATCGCCGCCGAAAAGCCTGCCACTGTTGTCGAACAGACTGCTCCCAAAGAGTCGAAAGAAAAACGGAGTAAGAAGGACAAGAAGCGGAAATTACAAGGTCAGTAGCTTGGTAACAAAATATGACGTCTTGTATGCCCCAATTGATGAAACTTTTCTTAACAACACATAGCTGTGGAGCAGCAAGCTACACCTGATACTCCTAATACGACTCAAAACATTGAAACCATCATCCCAACTCAAGAGAACAAGAAACAGAAACTGGAAGAAAATGGCCAAGGCAAGGAAGAAACATCTTCTAAGAAGAACAAAGAAGAATCTACCGACGGACTGACCAAAAAAGAAAAACGAAAGAAGCAAAAGAAGGCTAAGAAAGAACAACTAGACCCTAGTCAATCCATTGATGGTACTCAAGCAGTGGACGCTCCGATTCGTGTGCATCAACGACTCCCGGAATCGCTGACCCATCCAGAGATTATCAAAGCGATCCAAGGGCTGAGTCGATCCTCAAACCAAGGAAAATCGATGACGCTGAACGAGTTGATCGATGGCGTGTTGAAAACTACAGTCTCTACTCATCATCCCCAAAACGAAGATGCTTCAGCGCAGACTGATCAGGAGAACACCTGGAGGTCGGCCCTCCTCGAGCTGTTCGGCTCTCATCTCCAGTTTGTCCGGCCGACGACTGACCAGAGTTCGGCGGTTGGGCTGGCTTGGAATGGCTCTCCTCTGTGATCACTTCTTCGTCTGCAGCAATACGTTTTTATGACTTCATTTTCTCTCTCTCTCTCTCTCTCTCGCTCTTCTGGTGAGTTTTTACTATATTGGTCTGGGATACTGGTTTTTTTTTCTTCCTTTTTGGCTTGAGTTATTGCCAAATCGGTCGAGTTTTTGCAAAAAATGGTCCCACTCGACGGTCCCTGATCAGGACAGAACCTCTTGATTACTTTTTAACCGGGCTGCTTGGGCCTGTATCTTCTGAAGCTTAAAATGGCTTGTGGATTTTGTTACAAGTCGGGCCAAGCTCTGCAGACATCGTGATGCAACTAAGCCCGCTGAAGAACACCTGCCATTGTTGATTGTATCACTTTGTGGGAGTTGCGGTATGGGCAAGACGCCGAGGCTCATGAGCTGATAGGATTGGACGTGTATGCTGTAGTGGAGAAATGAGATTTCCCCCCCTCCAGGAGTTTTCATGTTCAGCCCCATGGGAGATTTTAAACCATCAAAAGATTGAACTTTGGCCTTTTCCTCTCCGATCACATTTTCTTTTGCAATGTGAGGTTCAAACTTCAACAAGGTGACACGAATCTATGGTGGATTTGTTAGAGGGAATGATTTTTTTCAAAGAAATGCAATCTATGACAGTTGTGCTACAGGGAAAGGGTTTTTTCTGCTAAAATTTTACAAAGCCGATTTTTGAGAGTGGTAGAGTACAAGAAACAAAAGGGTGTTGGAAACGCTGTTTTCTGTCAAAGAAACAAGAAGAAGAAGAACCGAAAGCTGAGAAGAGCGGAATTGAAAGGAAAGTTCTCGGAGGGATTCAGGTATTTTCCATCAGTTACTCTCATCAGGAGTAGCTGGGGGACTAGCTGGGGCGTCGGTTTTTTTCTGGGGCCCAGGCAAGCCGACTTCGACTCGCTTATCATCGAGATTGGAACCGCTACAGATGTGGAGCGAACTTTTCTTCGTGGGGGAGCGTTTGGTGGGTGGGTTGGGTTTCTCAGCGCCGCCCTTCTTGCCTGATGATTTGGGTTTCTCAGAGGCCGACTTCTTGTCGCACTCGGTACAATACGCTTGCTGGAATTATGACAAAAGGGTACAAATCAACCCGATCAGCTCAGAGAAAGTGCATCGGACAAGAAGCTGTGATCAAGGTTGTGGGCTTGGGATGTTGCACGTACCGCTGAGACAGTGAAGAAAGTCCGTCCAGTCTTCTCCAGTTTTTCCACACTGCCGACTAAGTCTGGCTGACAAAAGTCCAACTTTTCGGTGTCCTTGCACGAGGTAGACCTGATGAGCCAGAAGAAAAAAGTATCAGCGGTTGGTCGTCCAGTGTATGATGTATAAGTTGCTGTGGCTACATCCAGAAGGTCAGCTCACCTGATATCTTTGTAGTGCGAGAGTATGGAAAAGAGAGCGCCGGCGTGTGGGGATTTGTTGGTCAACTCGGCGGCGCAGCCCTTGGAGAGCTCGGCTAAGGCTTCTTTCAACGATTCATCGGTACAGGCTTCAGTAGCACAAACACCGGAGATCCACGCCTGCAAGAGGAATTAAGAAATAAGAAAAATCAATGAGGATGCCTTATGATTGTGCATCACATCAAGACATACCTTGATAGGAGTGGAGACGTTGGTCTCGGGCCGAATGGATGGGGAACAATTTGGCGAAGTTGATACAGGGTCTGGATCTTTGGCATCATGGACACAGTCGCAATTGTGGATCCACACCTGGGCGAAAATTTGGCTGAGTTGTCATCTTTCGTCTCTCTCCGTGCCAGGATGTGTGCTGCAGTTATGGCGTGATAGCTGATGCATACCAAGAGCACTGATAAAAGGGTGCGTAATCCAGCCATCGGGGAGAAGGATTGGGGTTGGGTGGCAGTGAAAAACTACGTGTGTGGCTGGGAAAAGAGTAGAGCTATTGGGAAGAGTAAAAAGGACTCTGAAAAAAGGAGATCTGATGGATATACACAGGGGATGATTGGGATGTGGGTTATAAAAAAAGCCAATGAGGGCTTCCACCGGTCCTATTTATACGCGAATGTCATGTGGGAGGTTGTTTCTCGGATGTTCCAGCTGGTGTGGAAATGGCTTCATCTCGAGTGCCGCCACCAAGGGTTTTGGTTGCCTTACTGATGATCAGGAACCAATCACATCATTCAGGATCGATTCTCCGAATCCTCTCCCAACCCCCGTAAGCTTTTGTGAGATGGCTTCGTCATTGGCCAATGTTGGTAGGGCATAGTCCAAGCGCCGCGGTGCTCGAAGGGAAGGATCTTCTGAAAGGCATGCATTTTGCGATTTTTTCTTTCTAACTTGTTGTACCCCTTTACACTGTCCCTATTTGACACGAGGGCTCAATTTCGGCCCCGAGGGGACAGTCGCTCCAGCTCAGCTTACATCGTCACCCTCCATGACGAAGTCGACGAAATGATACGTGAATGAAAAAAACATCTACAGGTACGTGAATGAGGGTTTGGCACGGAAATGCGAACTGAAGCGTATAGGGGTTTGGCACCGAAATGCGAGCTGAAGCCTATAATGACCTAAACAAGGAAATTCGAGAGAGGATTAAACTTAAACTTGTTTTGACACACTAAAGGAAAGCAGGCAATATCAATATAAAGAGTTTTAAAAAAGATGGAATCAGAATGAGGTAAGAAATTTCATTTTGTAATCAGGAATGTGACGATCTTGTTCTTGTCAATATTGCCATATTGATAACTTTCCTCTCTTCATTACCCAGTCGGCCGCTCAGATTTTTGATTGAATTAAGACTTCTCAATCTCGATTCATGACCCCACTCGGGGGCGAAAAACCTTCTTCCTGCCTAATCAGAGTTCTTAAACTCATATGCGACCAACAGGTCCTACATTGATACAGAGGAAATTTCTTTCCTTTGTCTATGAGTTATTAATGGAAACCAGAAGCAACTTGATTTCCCGAGCTATTCGGCTGGTTCATTGATAGCCCTGAACCTGCAAAAGATCACATCTGCTTACTTGAACGAAGTGTCTGTCAAGCGTACCCAACGGGTATCTTCTGTGCCATTTATCCTCCTGCTGAATTGATCGTTCCATCTTAAAAATGGCCTGATTGGCCGTTGTTGGTAGGGCATGCTCCAAGGGCCTCGACACTTCCACAAGCGGGTTTCTCGAATTCCTCACGTGTTTCTTCTGCTATGCATTCTTGCCTCACCGGTCCCAGAAGATATCGAGTAGCCATTATCCCTCTTTTCACAACGCCAGGGGTGACATTACAATATCATTTTCTTTTTCAGTTGCACATCTGCTCATCGACTTTGCCATGGTGCATAACAATGAGGGCTGAGCCGGGGCCAAACTGTCACCTCGGGGCCGAAATCAAGAACTCAGGTTGAGTAGGGTTTCATATCAACTTTGGATCAATTCTTATTTTTGATCTGTCAAAATGAAAAGTTGGTTGCTTCGCTTTGGTCACATTTTGGTTTTGCTCTGAAGTTTGAAACTCTCAGCTAAGCGTGTCAACAAGGTAATCAATCTGGAATTTGCACTAGGATGCTGGAAAAGATTTTCATTTCTCGCAAGTGTGTGCGATTTTTGGATTTCTCATGGTGATGGTGCAAGGAAGTCATAGGCATGTGGAATACAAGTACAGGAAGAAAAGACAAAGATTGGAGACGGTGTTTTCTATTGAAACAACAAGAAGAAAGATCAAACGCTGAGAGACGCGAAGTCGAAAGAGAACCTCTCGGAGGGTTTGGGGATTCGAGCTTTCTTCCCTCAGTCACTCTCTTCGGGCTTAGCAGGAGCTTCAGATTTTTCTTTGAGGGCAGGCATGCTGATTTGAATGCGCTTTTCGTCAAGGTCGGAGCCGCGGCAAACTTTGAGCGATCCCTTCTTCTTTGGCTCGGAGCGTTTGGTGGGTGGGTTCGGTGTCTCGGCCTTCGACTTTTTGTTGCACTCGTTACAATAAGCTTGCTGGAATCACAAAAAAAAAGCAATACATGTTGATGATGTCAGCTCATGGAAATACTCCTACACAGGAGGAATCTTCTGTGTTGTGGATTTGTGGAGGTGCACTTACCGCCGAGACCGTTAAGAACGGACGTTTGGTCTCCTGCAATTTGTCCACAGTACCGACCAAACCTGGCTGACAGAAGTCTAGCTTTTTAGTGTTCTTACAATAGTCAGACCTGATGAGTCGAAAAACAGAGGATGGAAAGATTTCGAATCTCAGCAATGAATCCCCAACTGTGCCATGTGGGCGCTTCAGCTGAATCCACAAGTTAGACTTACTTGATGTCTTTGTAGTACGTGAATAAGGAAAAGAGAGCGCCGGCATGTGGGGAGTTGTTCTTCAACTCGGCTGCACAGCCATTGGAGAGCTCGGCCAAGGCTGCCTTCAGACCCTCATCGGGGCAGTCTTTGGCTGCACACATTCCAGCTAGCCATGACTGGAAGGCAAGATGGAAAAGAAGAAATTAATAAATTACACAATGTCTTGAGTTTCTGAGTAGCCTGAAGACGTACCTGAATGGGAATCGAGATATTTTTCTGGGCCGCATGAATTGGGAACAATTGGCGAAAGTCCATGCAGGTCTGGATATTCGGCATTTGGGAGACGGTCGCGATTGAGTTTCCACACTGGTACGAAAATTTGCCTGATTTGTCTTCTTTGTCTCTCGGTGCCAGAGTATGGGCTGCAGTTATGGCGTGGTAGCTGATGCATACCAGGAGGACGGATACAAGGGTGCGTAATCCAGCCATTGGGTAGAACGATTGATGTTTTGTGGTAGTGAAATAAGACGTATTTGGTTAAGAAAGGAATTTGAATGGGTAGTGAGAATTGTTGTAGAAGACTTGTGAAATGGTTCTGTGAGAAGTGGAGCTGACGGTTGTACACGGGAGAGGAGCTTGGTGAGGGATAATCAGTCCAGAAGGGCATCAGATTGGACCTATTTATATGCGAATGTGGCAGGCTGTCTCCGGAAGCCTTCAGCTGGTGTGCCGTGAGCTTAGCTGCCGCCACCAAGGGTTTTGGTTGCCTTCGGACTCATCCGGAGCCCTTGACGTGTTATTCAGGATCAGTACTCCGAATCCTATCCCTATCATCGTAGGCCTGCTCATTATGGCTTGGCCGTTGGCCGTCGTTGGTAGGGCATATTCCAAGGGCATCGATACATCAGGAAGCGGATTCCTCGGATTCCTCATGTGTTTCCCCTGCTACAGATACGTACATTCTCGAACCACCGGCTCTAGGAAAGATCCCGCACGCCTCTTTCTTTTCATCACGCCAAGGATGGCAATGTTTTTTCCAGGCACAGAGATGTCTACTTATCCTTTCATCGACATCGCCACGTTGCATGACGATGAAGGCTGAGTCGGACCCGGGCTATCACCTCGGGGCCGAAAACGAGCCCTCAAGTAGGGTTATGTACAATAACTCTAGTAGGAAAAACTGGACAATGACCAAGATCAAAGTGGACATCCACACCAAAACAGAATCATAATCGAATGACCCTCACAATGAATTTCGAGAAAGCATTTGGCCTTTTTTGTCAATGATGTCTATTACAAAAGCAAATTAGCGATGCTAATTATCATTGGAGAAATACAGGAATCAGCTGACTGTGATGATCTGATTTTTGTCATCCTGATTTGAGAAGAATGACACAACTTTTTGACCACCGTTTCCATAAGGAAACAAAGTAGGCAAGTGTATGATTGAATTGTCTATTCATATTTTCCCTTTGCTCATGAGGCCCAGCTGATGGAAATCTTCATTCATCGCCCTGCAAGTGCGTGTCACCTAGCAAAAAAGAATCTTGTTCCATGAGCCTAGAGTGCCAAGAATCAGAGGCATCATCCAGCAGGTTGGGCCTTTTGATCTTGCGTGTGAGGAGACCTTAATTAGGCTTGCACTCGCGTTCTGAAATGACGCTAGAAACGTTTGGCTACCTTTTCAACTACAGACACACGACTTTTCCATCGTTGAGGCCACTTAAACCCACAACATAGCACTGAATCTCACTTGGCGAAAGATAACCTACTCTCTTAATCCGAATGTTTTGGCACCAGTCATGACAGAAGTACATTTCACTGCTTGCCTGATTTCGAAAAATAATTAGGAGACTGATACAATTATCATGAACTCTTCTTATGATCCTCGGGATATTCCTGGTGTCTGGTCTGCTAAAAAGACAAGTTGATTCTCTTCCCTTAAAGCACATTTATTTTTGGCTATGCTTCAATTTAGACCTCGGATCTTATGTTTTCTTTCTCTCATCAAGAAAAAAGAAATCTCAAGGTTTGGAAAAGACTTTCTATTTTCATTTTTCACAAATGTATATGTGATTTTTCTACTGTTCGTTTGTTGATGTTACAAGATTTTGGTAAGGATGTAAGGAATACAGAGCAAAGAAAAACATAACAACAGATTGGAAGTGTTGTTTTCTATCAAAGAAACATCAGAAAAAACGAAAGCTGACAAAGGTGAGTTGGAATGGGCTTTGCGGTTGAAATTTGGTCAGATTAACCACTCTTTTCGGGCTGAGCTGGGGTTGCGGGTTTGTCTTTGGCTTCGGGATTCTCTTTGGCTTCGGTTTTTTCCTTGGGGTCGGTTTTTTCTTTGGGGTCGGTTTTTTCTTTGGGATCAGTTTTCTCTTTGGGGTCAGTTTTTTCTTTGGGGTCGGGTTTTTCTTTAGGATCGGGTTTTTCTTTGGGGTCGGATTTATCGTTGAGCTGAGGCAAGCCGACTTCGAGACGTTTCTTTTCGAGATTGCCCTTACAGACATCGGCCGACTCGTTCTTCTTTTCGTTGGAGCGTTTGGACGGTGGGTTGGGCTTTCCAGTGTCCGACTTCTTGTGACATTCCGTACAATACGCTTGCTGGAATCACAAAACGATCAAAGTAAAAATCGTCAGCTCAAATGAATAGTGGAAGTAACTTTAGCAGCCTGATGGGTTTGTGATTTGCACGTACCGCCGAAACTGTAAAGAAGGTGCGGTTGGTCTTCTCTAATTGTTCCACGGTGCCTACTAGTTCAGGTTGACAGAAGTCCAACTTTTTGGTGTCTTTGCACGATGTGGTCCTGATAAGCCGCAAAGAGAATATAAGCAAGAATCCGAAGATGAGCATCGATTCGCCAAGTGTAGGCTACTCTGAAGTTCAACCTACCTGATATCCTTGTAGTGTGTGAATATGGAAAAGAGAGCACCAGCGTCGGGCGATTTGTTCTTCAACTCGCTAGCACAGTCTTTGGAGAGCGTGTCTAAAGCTGCTTTCAAGGCTTCATCGGTACAGGCTTCGACGGCACACATTCCGGTGATCCAATCCTGCAAGAATTTAAACAAATAAGGAGGAAGAAATAAAATGATGAGTTAGAAATTGCTTCGTCTTGGTTTAAGATTTTTTGGAATATACCTGAATGGGAGCCGAGACGCCGGTCTGGGAGGCATGGATGGGGAACAATTTTGCGAAGTTGGAGCATTTTTGGATTTCTGGTCGAACGGAAACTATTGCGATTGCCGATCCACACTCGGGCGAAAACTTGACCGATTTGTCCTTTTTGCTTCTTGGTCCCAAAGTGCATGCTGCGTTTATGTTATGGAAACTGATGCAAACCAAGAGGACGGATACAAGGGCACGTAAACCAGCCATCGGAGAGAAAGATTGACGTTCTTGTGGTAATGAAATGTGGTTATGAAGAGAGTCGAGCGGCTGGGGGATTGGTCTATAAGGCCTGTACTAAAATGATTCTATGGAAAGCGGGGCTGATGGATATACACAGGAGATGAGTTGGGTGAGGAAGGATTAGCTTGAGATGGCTTCAGCTTCGTCTTTTTATACGACATTTTTTGACCTGAGGAAGACACTGTCGACGGCTGCAGGCCGACACCCACGCTGTTTCTAGGGAGTTGAACTCTCAGCAGGTGCGGAAGTATCTTGATCTCAAGTGCCGATACATACCAAGGTTTCGCTTGCCTCTGGACTCAGAAACCCTTAAGATCATTCAGGACCAATTCCACGAAACTTATCCCTAGCTTCGTAGGTGTTTCTTGCATTATGCCTTGGTCATTGGTCATCGTTGGCAGGCATAGTCAAAAGGGTACTTGAGGGGATGAACTCGGCATGTGTTTTCTTTCTGCCTTGCAATATTGCGCCGCCGGCTTTGGAAAACATCGACCAAGGATGCTTTTTTGGCCTTGCCATCACAACAAGGGTAACTCCATTTATTCATTTTTTTTATAAGCTTCGCCATGGCGGAAGTTGGAGCATCACCTCATGCCCGAAGTCCAGTGATCCGATCGAGCAGAGCTACACCAATCATGTATGTATCGAGGGCACAAATGCAATCTTAGACAAGTACTTCGACCCTCTTCCGCGGAGGCGCCGGCCGACGAGACGCTTTGCCATTCCTCCGGAGAGGCTTTGATCAGTTGACCCAGGAAATACAAAAATATAGAATCGGTTGCAGAAATACATTTCTAGAAGGGGCACGAATAGAACGTTAAAACCACAATAGACCACAATAGAAGTGGACGTCTGCTCGCGGCCGGCCTGTGCAGCGCCGAACTTGGCTACAAAAGTCCCTCCTGAGCGAAACGCGCCCGCCTTTGAAGGATAGCCGGAGGACTTCTGAAACTCCGGCGCGAAACTCCGGCGCTCACGAGGCGTGACAGGTTTTTGGAGTCTAGCAGGGAATTGTTGATTTCCTTTTCCTTTTCATCAGATGTCCTATCTGGACGCCCCCCTTCCTGAAGAAACGGACACGGGAAGTTCATGATTTCTTGATTTTACCTGGGCCCTGGAAGTGCGGGACTGCAAAATGCATGTCTCACCGTGGGAGAAGATCAATCTTGTTCTGTGTTGGAAGCCGATGGCCTAAAAAATACCAAAAATTGAGGGGTTGTAGCGGGCCTTCTTGTGCATGCATAGCATCCTAGTAGTCCATCACAAAATTCTGATGCTTGGAGGCAAAGATATCCTCATCAAATGGAGTGACTTTTTGCGTAGCTCTCACGCAGTCAAAGCGCCTGATCAGTTTCAGAAGTCTCTCCTACGAGACTGGCGCTTTGCGCACAGGAGGGACTGCATGGTTAATTCTGGGTGCAGCGCCATGGAGTTTGAGAAGGCGCCCGGGACCGGGTGATGGAGGCTGGCCGGACATCCCCGGCGGCGGCTGGCAAGGAGGATCCCGCAGCCGGTCCGGGGACCCGAGTCTATAGGGTGTGACGCAATTCTTGTCGCCGGTTTCGTCAGATTGCGTCATCGATCGCCGCAGGGGGAGGGGGCACTGGCCACTGCAGATGCAAACTGCTTTCAGCTCATCCTGAAGTGTTGACCGTCCCCTTCAGACACATCCAATTAGTAAAACCATCCAATCGACCCATCAAACAGAACTCAAGACATACATATAAACCACGAGCATACTCCAAGATGCCATCGGTCAGGTTAGGATCAGTTGCGCCGGACTTTGCGGCCGAAACGACGAATGGTCCGGTCAAGTCCTTCCACGAATGGATGGCCGATTCCTGGGCTATCCTGTTCTCTCATCCGGCCGACTTCACTCCCGTCTGTACCACCGAGCTGGGCGAGGTTGCTCGAAGACAAAAGGACTTCGAGGCCCGGAACACTAAGGTCATCGGGCTGAGCTGTAACGAGCTCACGTCTCATGACGATTGGATCAAAGAGTGCATTTGCGTCTTTGGCCTTTTTTCAATGTCGTGCTCTTGAAGCTGTGGCTAAGAATGTTCATGGTCTCCTCCTAACATACTCATCATTCTTTAGTATTAACCGCGTCAACTCGGTCCAATTGTCTTTTCCAATCATCGCCGATTCAGACCGGAAGATAGCCACTCTGTACGACATGTTGGATGAACAGGACCTCACTAACCGGGACAGCAAGGGCGTACCATTTGTAAGTCACCCGAAAAAACCACGTTTGTTTTATTGTATCACGTCGGAAAAACTGAACCGACTTGCTGCTCCCCATATCCAGACTGTCCGATCGGTCTTCATCGTCGATCCCGCCAAGAAGGTCAGATTGATCTTGCAATATCCCGCGTCGACCGGTCGACAATTTGACGAAATCATTCGCGCCTTGGATTCGCTCCAATTGGGTGACAAACATCCCGTCACCACTCCTGCTAATTGGACCCCTGGTCAACCGGTCATCATCCACCCTTCAGTCTCCGACCAAGACGCTCAAAATCTCTTCCCTAACCCGATTGACCATAAGACTCCTTACCTCAGAATGACCTCCTTGTAATCCCAACTACTCTTCGCTTATATCGCCTATGTTATGTCTTCTCATGAAATCCTCAAAATTTCTGACTCAAATGCCCAAAAATATCCCCTGTATTTTTTCTGTCTGCTACCTGCTTGTACACCGGTGTCGATAAAAAAATCGATACACAAAAATAGTTATAACCGATTTCCTTACTCGCACACACGAAACATGAACCCATAGCATGTTTACCCGTTCGATCAGACTGGTAGTTTTTTGGTAAATTGTCTTGCAAAATTTGAAGGCCCCAGAGGTCCAAGATGTGGTGTGACGTGAATGGCTCAAGGGCAAAGTACTCACTTGTGAGTCGAATTTATGTTACCAACCTATCTTATCAGAGTCAGCCATGATCACGTTACCACCTGGGTGAAGTCCAAGGAGTTTGTAGATTGGTCAGACCGGCGACACGGCAAACTGTGTTCTTAACTATGAGGCTCACATCG